GTCTGTATTATCTCCTCTTTGGAGAACAGGGACGTGTATCAGAAAATTAGATTAATTACTCTAAAACTAAGTTTTCTTATTTTGCTTTATATACTGCCAAATCATTCTTTTACTTAAAATATTTAAGATGGTCCTGAATATACAATATGCACACAACGGAGCTACAGAAAAGTTCAATGGCCTGAGTGCCAAACGAATGAATTTGCTCTTAAAGACTTGATAGAAGGGGATAACTTTTCCTACCATCCATTATGGTGAATCTAATCCTTACTCATGTGAGAATTCCAGCAAAGTAAAAGGACCACACACATACAAAAATCAGTTTAGCTAGGTTTTCTATTTTATAAAATCTTATAAGTGAATAAGTAATATGTCCATTTTTTAAACAAAATGCATTTTGCTAAAAAGCAGTTTTTAGGTAGATACACAGAAGGGGGATTGCTGGGTCATATGGTAATTCTGTTCTTAATTTTTTTGTTTGTTTTAGCTGAGCCATCCTGCCACCTGTTGGCAGCTCAGTGGCAGCTCAGCTTGGGCCGGGCATCGAACCGCTGTTGCTCAGAACTTGCACTCTTGAGCAAGCTCTTAACCAACTGAGCCACTCGGCTGGCCCTGTTCTTAATTTTTTTGATGAACCTCCACACTGTTTTCCATAGTGGCTTCAACACTCTGCATTCCCAACAGTAGTGCATGAGGGTTACTTTTTCTCCACAGCCTCTCCAGCACTTGTTATTTCTTATCTTGTTGATAATAGCCATTTTAACACATGTGAGGTGGTATCTCATTGTGGTTTTGATTTGCATGTCCCTAATAGCTAGTGAAGTTGAACATTTTTTCATAAATCTGAAAACATTCATCCATAAAGATATATATACCCCTAGGTTCATTGCAGTATTATTCATGGTGGCCAAGACATGGAAACAACCAAAGTGTCCTTCAATAGATGGTTGGATAAAGAATGGAATATTGCTCAGCTATAAGAAAAGATGAAATACTGCCATTTGCGACAGCATGGATGAATCTTGACATAATCATGCTAAGTGAAATAAGTTAGAAAAAGTCAAGAACTATGTGATTTCACTCATATGCAGGATATAAAACTGAACGCAACAAAAGAACAAGACAAACAAAGAAAAACTCATAGACAACAGATTAGTGGTTACCAGAGGGTAAGGGAAGAGGGGCATGGTAGAAGAGGGAAAAGGGGATCAAATATATGGTGATGGAAGGAGAACTGACTCTGGCTAGTGAACACATAATGCAATATATAGATGATGTATTATAGAACTGTGCACTTGGGACCTATCTAATTTTACTAACCAGTGTCACTCAATAAATTTAATTTAAAAAGCAGTTTTTAAATTTAAGTATTTTTTAAATTTAAGTAGTTTTTAAATTTAAATATTTAAATAATATTAAATATTGTCAGTTAAAGCTTAACTTCATTAAAAAGCACCAGACATATCTTTTTTTAGGACAGGAAGAATAAGCTTATTTTTTCTCAATCTGGTTCTTAAATTAACTTGGCTACAGAAACAAAACTGTTGTAAGCTGTTATAAATAATTAACCAAAAAATGATAGTCTGCATTTTTTGAAAGTATACATTTTTTTTCAAACGTTAATGCTTTAATTTCAGGAGTAGTCTTTAAAGAGAGAAGCCAAATGCATCTTTAAAAAGCCAAGAATATGATTTCCTCCCTCTCATTAATATGTTCTTGGCATTGATAAAAGCATCTTATTTTAGATAACTTCTTACTAATGGCCTCCACAAAACTCCCAGTCATCTACATTTGTTCCATATGTCCATGTCAGTAGTTATTTACCATACAAATTAGTTATTATTTACAAAGATAGAAATTTTTTCAATTGAAAAATATGTCTATGTTTTAAAATTTACATTTTGATTGTGGTCTTAATTTTTCTTATGAGATTGCATTGACTTTACATTTTAAGAAAATTTTTATAAATTGGAAAAATATCATTTAGTGATAAATTAAGTAATTGCTGCCATCCAATGTTTCAGATTTTACCAGCTAGTGACTATAAAATAAGATCATGCTGTCTTTTAATTCCCCAATTATTATTGCTTGAGCCTCTACCATTCTAGTTACTGGAAATAAGTCTTCTTTATTTCTGAAAGTTTTCCCCAGTCCTGCCTTGAATCTGCTCAGGAGCAGGTGGCTCCTTCATCACACTGCTGCCTCTGTCACTGGTCCTGTTCATGAGGAGGCAGGATAAGTAGCCTAGGAAACAGACAACCCCTCCAGGGTACAATGTGAGGTATCTCACTTGTTACACAAGTAACAAGTTACTGTACCCAGTACCTGCAGCTGGAGAAAAACAATAATCAGTTTCATCCTGCAAGGCTAAGATCTGGGAGCTGACCATTAGTCAATTTTAATGTCATTATAATGTCATTTGCATTGTGGTTACTAAGACTACCATCATGCATCTGATGCCATGACAGTAAGGAAGAAAAAGTGGGAAATGGAGGGTCCTGCCCAGGGGGAGGAAATTAAAGAACCTTGTCAATGGGATGTTATCTACTCCCACCCAGGGATGGATAAGAACCCCTGATCATGACTTCTTCCAGGCCACTCATTCCCTGAGTTTGCCTGCACTTTCAAGCATGGACTTTTGTTTGCAACAAATCACTTTTGCTTTTCTGCATCTGTCTCGCTCTTGAATTCTTTCTTGTGCGGAGAAAAGAACCCAGTCACTCCTGCTCTGGGTTGAGTCCTCTCTGGGACATCCCCATGAGCCTCTGGCGACAATGAGACCACTAAACTTGTGGGTTCAGCTTTCTTTTCCTCCCCAAATGATCACTACCACTGCTGCCTTTCTGATCTCACAAAGCCTGACCCTTGCTCTTCTCCATCTGAAAACTGAGACAGACTCCTCCCTAACTCTCCACAGCACAACTGAGACCAGGTAAAAATGTTAACTAGACTTTATTAAAAGTTTGGACATCATGGAAGGAAAGTACAACAAAGATAACAATTTACTATTGCTATAAAATTGTCTACTCTTAGTGTAGACAGGATCTCAGGTCGCTTATTTGTCCAGTTTCAGGCTGGCTGACATCTTGCCAGGAATGTCCCAGCATATCCATGACTCAGAGCCCCATCCAAATTCCTAGGCCCAAAGTGAGGATGCCATTCACACCAATCTAAGCCTTTAAATCCTCATTTCTTGCCTCATATTGGAGTTCATCTAGAATGATTGACAATGAAAAGATACACTCTCTTCAAGGAAAACTCCACACCTGGCCATGAAGCTGTGATCTTGCCTGAGGAACCATTGAAAAGCCCGATAGCACTATAACCCTTCAGGATCCCTGCCTTAAGTAATCCCTCCTTTGACTATAGTCCTCCAGGTCAGAGTGTGCTGGCTTTAGCCAGTCCAGCTTCTTTTTAGTAGTAGGAAGTGGGGAGAATTGTGCCTCTAAGCCCTTCTTACCATCCTCGCTATCCTTGCTTTACATTTCAAACACTCACAGAATGAGACAGTCAACTCTGCAGATACGCAGTCATTGGTACCTATAGTATGGTTCAAATCCAATTTGTGAAAAGAAATATTTTCTAAAAACACATCTGTGAAAGCTCATCTAAAACATTCCCCAATTTACATTATTAAACCTTAACTTTCCATTCTGAAGCATTTGCGCTGAATTTTTTCACTGAGTTAAGGAGTTTCCTCCAAGGGATAAATTGGTACTCTTCTGTTTTTCTTCTAGAAACAAAGTAACAGGCTTCCTCAAGGACTCCACCCAAGAATGTAGGACTTTCTCCTCACTTTGAAAAGTAGCATTTTAAGGATCTTTTTGGGACTGTTAACAGCAGAGACAGCAGTATGAAGAGGAGGCCACCAAGTTTTACAAAATCTCAAGTTTTAGGATCCAGAGCACCCTATAAAAAACTACTCTAAAACTCAATGGCTCTTAGAACATTTCTTTATTCTCGTGAGTCTCGTTTGGTTAAGGCTGGACTCCAGAGTCTGGGCTCTGAGCTGCAGGAGGCCTGTTGGCTTTAGGCCTGCTCCATGTATCTCATTCTGGAGGCTCAGGGGGAGTTTGGTGGCTACTGGGGCACATTCTTCTCATGAAAGATTCCCAGAGCTCAAAGGGCTACCTCAAGCGCACAAGCAGATTTCAAGATTATGCTTGTGCCATGTCCACTAATATCCTATCAGTCCAAAGAAGACATACAGCCAAGTCCAAAGTCAAGGGGAAGTTCAATTAGCCTTCCCTTCCACCAAGCTGTGGCAAGAGTGAAATACATAATTATTTTATATAGGAGCAGATTATGTCCAATAATTCAATCTTTTCTGGACCACTGCGGAGTTTGCCTAATTCTCTAACTGCCATCTTTTTGTGTCTATCTACCCTGGTTCCATATCCTTATCATTTATAACCAATCTGGTCAACTCCTCTGCTTAAATCTTCCATTACAGGAAACATTTAAACTGTTTAGTAAGACCAATGAGTTCATCCTGGTTAGTTTCATAGCATGTTTTATGTCTATTATTTTTTCTCTCTCTCCCCTCACTGTCTAAAGCTATGCTTCCATCTACATGCTACCTCTCTGAACATCTAAACTTTTTTAAGACTCATGGTTTTGTACATGCTAATTTCCTTGTACAGAAATTAATTTTATTTATACAGCAAAATACATGCCTATGATATGTGAAGTACCCAGCATTATTAGACATATTTTGGAGAACAAAACAGAATTGTTACCTTCCCACAGAGAGCCTGCAGAAGAGGAGGAAGGCCTCTTCCCACCCCTCTTTGCCATGCTGGACATGCAGTCACCTTTCAGGTGCAGTTTTGATCACCTATGACTTTCTCTGCTCTCCACAGTGGGAGTTAACTTTTTCTTTTGTAATGTCCTCATGCCACTTTTCATCGGTGTGTAGTATTTTCAGACACAATTAATGTTTTTTTTTGTCTTTCTGTATTTTCCCCATTTCCCTCCCCCCTATTCTTTGCCTAGGGCAGTTTTGGGAAAAGAAATCCCCTTCGCCCCAAAAAACTACATTTTGATGGATGACCATAGGAAAAAATATCAAGATAAACTAGTGTGCAACTGAAGGCGGAGAATCTAGGGGAAACTGGTGAAGAACATAGGACCTCTCTCCCAGGTGAAAAAGATTTCCCTGACCTGGGGAAGGGAGGAAGAGACAGAGATTTATAGGTCCCAGGAACAGAGAGGATCTAGTACTCCCTGAGCATGATGGTGTCAGTAAGAATAATAATAACAACAACAATAGCTATGATAATGATAGCAGCTGTTTCTGAACAGTTATTATGTACCAGGTATTGTGCTAAGCACTTTATATAAATTACCTCCTTTTCCCCTCACAACTCTATGAGGTAGATAACATACACATCTGTCCTTTGCAGATGAAAATCTGAAAAGCTTAGGAAATTGAAAAAAATTTTGTCTAAAGTCTCGCAGATATGGCATGCCCAGGAGGTGAGTCCAAGTGATGCCAAAGTCAGCCTTTTAAATAATTCATGATTCTGCTTCTCTATAGCTAAGCCCTCAGGACTGGCTCCTAGGGAATTTAGGCAGAGGAAGCCATCTGCAGCCATGTAAAAACTTCTTCTTTCTCTTGCAGAACACAGCGGTGGTCCAAGGCCCGTGAGCCTGAGGAGTCCGGCATACCCAGCAAATAATGGAGGGCAAGTCCTCCACCCTGCTTTCCTCCCTCATTCCAAATACCAGGTAAAAGCATACAGGAGAAAGAACTAAGAATTACCAAGGTCATTCTTTTATTTTTAATTTTTTACTGGCCTGGAAGATGATGATTCGGTGTAAAAAATTATCAAGAATAATTAGAAAAGATAATAGATATTCTTGTGCATGTAAATTTGTAAGGTGAGATTTATACCAATTACATAGATTATCTCCATTCTCTTATCACTTCCCATTATGATTAGAGCCTTTTCTGTAGATTACTCACAACTAGAAGGTAGGAAATTTCTGTTACTTGACTTTATTACCTGCACATAGCAGTGTACCCAGCATATGCTGGTTGAAAGGATTATTGAAATATCCTTAATAAGATTTTTCTATTACTCTATTTTTCCCCCCTGTAAATTCTGTTCACTTAAAATGTTGGAAGTCTTTGTTGTGAATATAAACTCAATTAACACAAATAGCTTATGCTTCAAATGTTCTTGCTCTTTAAAGTATGTTTTTTACCCCTTTATTCTTATGTCTTATTCTAAGATTATGTATTGAGAATAAATCAGAGACTATGACATGAAAACGTTTTAGACAAAATGTCCACTAACCACACTATCTAATTTCTAACGGTCCTTAGACACTGTAATGACAGGGCTGCCGAATTTATCAAGAAAACAATGTTGATGAGTAGGAAGAGGAAATATATTCTCAGCAGAGGACCTGATGCCTGAGAAAACTGCAATAAATGATTCAGCAGAAGGTCTCACTACTGTCAAGGGCCAGAGAGCCAAGCATTGTCACCCTAGAGGAGAACTGGCCAGACCACTCCTTAATGTAAGCAACTGAATGTTAAATCAGAGATACTGATGGTGTCCGTGATGATAACAGCTACCCAGTTAGTGCGCTGCCTTTCTTCTTCCCTTCCCTTTCCTCCACATCTTTATGGTTCTTGAGCTTGGGTCTCGTGTGCTCACCAATTCTGACTAGTGACTAGTTAGTCCCACTAACCTCAAGTGGAATTTTTTTCTATTGGATGAATAGCAACATTTACAGCTTTTACTTTGATTCATGGAGAATAATTGTTAGGAACACAAAAGTACATGTGTCAACTTTAAAGTGTGAACTAAAACTTGAAGGGATTTGAGGAAAAGCATAGGTTCTTATGTTCGTTCCTTCATCCACTCACAGACTACCCAGTAACCATCTAATGTCTACCGCACGTTGGCCGCTGCCCTGGGTGCGGGGATTCACAGATTCACTGAGGGGGACAGACTTGTGAATAAATTCTATACGTAAAATAATGTGCACTAGAAGCATTCTAAATTTCCACAGGAGCAGAGAAGGGGAAAGGCAATAGAGAAAACAGAGGATTTCTGGACGAAGTGGGCTTTTGAGCTGGATCTTGAAGGGTGAGAAGAAATTTGCCAAGGAAAAAGAACAGAATTTTAAAACACCCAGAATCATGAAACAGCATAGCGTATTTATGGATTGGAAAATAATTCCATGTGGATGACATTAGTGTGGTGTGTGAGAAGAGTGGAAGATAAAGTAGGGGAAGAAGGCTGTGACTGGCTTTGTATACAGTACTTCATTTAGAGGTTGTTACAGATTTGACTGACAGACAGTTACTTTTTGAGGGCAGCACGTTATTCTGTTGGGTGGTTGGGAACTGATGTGAATATGCTATTTCTCTCCACTGATGGCAAACTGATACTTGTACTAGGGTGTGAACAGCTGAACCCAGCAGGAACAAAACCAAATAGGGTGCAGAGCTGGCCACAGTTTTTACTACATAGATCTGCACATAATGGGTGCCATGACTGTTCTTGACTTACTGGGTGGTGTGTGTGTGTGTGTGTGTGTGTGTGTGTGTGTGTGTGTGTGTGTGTGTGTGATGATATTTAGTTCTATAATTGGTATAAAGAAAAGTGGGCTGGGGTGAAGTATAAACCTAGGAGCTCACTCAGGTACTAGAAATTCTTAATTACGCCCCTGCTCAGGAATACACAGGCAGAGTTGCCCTTCAGGTTCCTCTGAGATGTGAGTAATAGGTATAACATGTGACTGTTTCTCTGACCCACCCCTGCCTTCATAAATGGTGGAGTATTTTAGCTCACGAGAAAAAAGGAAACATAAAGGAAATCATGTGAGAGATAAAGTCCATGAGAAAAAGTCCTGCTTCGTTTTTCTCATAGGTTTAATCTTTGTTCTTAAAATTAGTCAGCATGGCAGAGCGGTTAGGAGCAAGCTTTGGGAGCTCTTATTCTGACTCTATCAATTAACAGTGGTGGGACTTGTGGCAAGTCAGGTGACATCTCATAACCCAATTTCTCATCTGTACACTAGGCAAAAACAACAGCTCTGTTGAAAGTAGTAAGAAGAACCAAATGAGGTAATGTGTGGAAAGCACTTAACACAATGCCTGTCACATAATAATCATAAATTAGTCTTTGTTAAGAGATTTCCTATGAAGGATCTCTTTGGATCTGAAACACATTGGTCACAGCCTTTTATTTTCCAGTGAACCTTTATGCCGATCCCCCTGTGCAAGACGTCCTGTTCATCCATATGTCTCAGTCATAAACCTCTTACCCTCCTCTCTCTTCTAAAATGTTTTCTGTAAGTAACCACCAAGTGTCATTCGCTTTTCTGTGCAGCACCTTCTGTCCCCACTTTTTTGTTTCTGTTTTGACACCTTCGTGCCTGTCTATAGACAGCTTTGGTTCTTCAATAACCATGTGTAAGAAGTATTTTTTTGACCTGTGAAGTAGCACATTAACAATTAATATGACTCTGCACTTTCTGTTTGCTCTTAAGAACTTGCTTAGGGTTTAAGAGAATCTAAGATCTTCTCTCTTTTTAACTTGACTCCTTAAGTCATAAAAATTGGAAAACTGAAAGCTGAAAGTGACTACATACAGGATAGCAACTAAACTTAAATACTTCATCCTGATACAGCAAAATACTATTTGTTACACTAGAAAATTTGACATTAGAATGATAATGTCCCAAATATTTGGCTTGTTATTTCTCAATGAAGATTATTTGTATTCAAAGTTGGAATCAGGAATTACCTTTAATTCTTCAGGCTTTTCCCCAAGAACCAAGAAAAAGCCACCACCAGAGATAAATTTTGTTATAATTATAATTTAGCATTCAAATGATGGGATTTTGAATTAGAAACTCTAGGCTAAAAGAGCATATATATTTTGGCATCATATTTATTATTATTAACCTACTGTCTCAGTTCTTCCATCTAAAATGGAATTAACAAATCCTTACTTTCCTTTGTTTACAGGGAAGTAGTAAGGCTGAGTAAGTTACACATACGAAGGCATTCTGTGCTGCTTGGAGGAAAGCTACTATTTAAATTCAAGGTGTTATCTTCATGGATGGTATAAGATGCTTGGCCAATGAACTGTATGCCTGTTGGGGACAGCAAGGACGATGTCATGCATAATATTCTGTAGATAAACACCTAGAAAACCATTTTAGGTTTTTGTTGCTATCCTTGAGGATCTCAGTGTTATTCGCACCAGGACAACCAGAGTGCAGAATCTGAGGCATTTTCTACCTCATTTAAAAATAGAAAACTTAGTGTAAGATGTGTATGTGGGCAGAATGAATAGTAAGAGCTGGCACAGCCTGTTCCACCCTTCCTTCCTTTGTAATCTGATCTATAGTATCTTTTCTATTGTTTTCCGGCACAAATCTAAGTTCTTTGTATCTAATAGTGTCTTAATATTCAGGACATTGTGTGCCTTTATAAGTCATTTAGCTTTTCATTTTCTCATGACTTAGTTTGGTAAATATTCCGACCAGTGGAAATATCTTTAGCTTTGTGCTGAAATCTTTGTTTTGCTTTGTAAGCCCAATATTATCTTGTAGCAGGTGCAGATTCTGTGTTTTCTGAGTTCTTAATGAACATAAATCCCTAGTGGAGATAGTTTTCATTCCCTGCATGCCTTTGTTCTGATAGTGCTGCTTATAAAACACAGAGAGATCCTTTTAGATTCCAGGACTAAGCATAGATTTCAAGAAAGGCCAATGTTCATCAGGAAACATGGAACTGCCTACAGGTTTCTGTAGATATGTGAGTACGTCTGTAAGTTTGCTAGAGATAAAAGCTACTTTATTTATCACAACCCTCTGGCTTCAGTGCAGCTCATAGAAAGTGTGTCACACCATGAAATTCTGATATGCCCTTTTCTGGGTTCCTGGAGTCATTTAGCTGTTAAAACATAATTTAAAACGATAATTGCTGAAAATGGGCATGATCAGGAAAGTGTTCCAGGGCAGCTTTACAAATAAATACAGAACATTTATAAGCACATTTTTTAAAACCCATTTCCCAGGCTCTACTTAAGACATAACCGGGTGAGGGAAAAAATGAAACCAGTATTTTCTACATTCACCTAGTGTGCATCATAATTCTCCACAGGCAAGCATCTGCCAATAACAGAATGGTGTCCAGATGTCTCTGTCTCTGTATCTCTCTCCCTCTCTCTGTTGTTGATGGAAGTAAATGACATGGGTGTGAAATCTCTGAGGCCAATGATTGTTATGTTAATAACGTTACTTTTAGTACACCGTGCAAACTGCTAAGCATAGTATCAGATCCTGTCTTTATAACTTTCTCTTGAAGGTTTAGAAAGTTGCATCGCCACCATAAAGTAAATAAATATAAGTGTAATTAGCTCGGACCAATTGTTCACAAGAAGCTAGTTCGGACTGCCAGACTCACAGTGGCTTATGTCTGAAGGAAGGGACGGAGGCTTCTGAGCTTCTCTATCTCCGTTCTTATCTTGCTCCGGAGCTAACGCCTCACATTCCGACTGCTGCTAGACATTTTCTTGTGAATGCCTCTTTGTTGCCTAAACCTCTACATGGCTAAAGCTAAACTCTAAACTTGGTTCATGTGGTTATTCTTTACTTCACTCAGTCATTTGACAAAATCTATCAGTCTTGTTTTCCTCCCTCATTCCTTTTCTCTCTCCCTCCTTGCATCCATCTGTGTATTTATCTAAGCAGCATATATTAAGTGTATCCTCTATGTGGATCTCTGGGTATACAGACATCAATGAGGAAGCCACATGGTTCTCTGTCTTCCTCCTTTACTGATAGAAATACATATGGATCTTCTATATAAATCTTTGTTTTCAGTCTTCCTTATCTTTTTTTCATCCTCTTTTTACCAACCTCCTATCCATCCTACATATTGTCACCAAATTAGTTGTTTGAAAAACTTTCCTTTGAATATATCACTCTTTGGTTTTACAAAAACCTTAATTGGTTTTTATTTTCCACATGAAAATGAAAGCGGTTTGGGGGGTAGTGGTGGGGAGAAGCACTTTTCTCTTCACTCTCCTCAAGCCACACCTGACATGTCTTATCAGTGGATGTCTTCTTCTCACCTCCACCCCAGCAGTACTAACCTATTTAGCATCTTCTGAATACGGCCATGTGTCTTCCTAGTGCTATGCTTTGCTCATCCTTTTCTTGAAAAAATCACTCTCCTCACCATTCTACCGGTACAAATTCTGCCTTATTTTTTGGGACTTGGTTCAATATACAGGTCGATCATAAAGCTTTCCTTGATCCTCTAGGCCAGGGATTCACACATTTGTTTTCTGTGAAAGGCCAGATAGTAAATATTTCAGCCTTTCTGCATCATATGTCTCTGTAGCAACCATCCAGCCCTGCTACTGTATCACGATGGCAGACACAGACAAAACGTGAAGGAATGAGTGTTAGCTGTATTCCAATAGAGGTTTGTGGACATTGAAATTTTACTTTCAAACCATTTTCAAGTGTCACTATATATGATTCTTCTT